TCCCAACCTTGCAGTTGCTCTTTTTTTACCCATGCCTCTGTTCATCCTCATTAGCTCCTGATTCAGTAGGTCAGCACCAGAGGTATAGTCCCCCAAGAGTCTTTCATTTTTTCCCCAGTGGAAAATTTTAAATTAATTAATTAATTTACATTTAATCACATCTTTACAGTGTATAACATTTCTTTTTCCAGCACAAATGTCCCCCAAGAGCCTTGACAGGCAAGAAAGGAGATACTAGGATAGGTGGGACTCCACCGAAATATTATCCTAATGACTCTTGGTCCATTTGGTATACTCTCAGGTTGTTTACCCGTGGGCCTGACTTTGACTTGGTCAATTCCAATCTGTATGCTCTCTGGCATGGGGATAGGTGGAGTCTATTTTATAAGATTCATGTTTTCTTGGGCTGCGCCATCCTAACAGATGAAATCTGCTTGTCTTGTAGAACGGAATCACAGAGAAGGTGAGGGGCAGTATTGCCACCATGTTGACCCTTGCTTCATCCCATGGGGATGGTCTCTACAAGGAACTGGCAGGTAAATGCATAAAACCTTTGTATGAAGATTGACCATGTAGACACTCTGGCTGTGGTTGCTCCTTACTAAATTTGAAGAGATTAAGTTAGGAAGAACTTCCAGGGCAAGGACTGTACAAAAGATGATGACAAATGACATCCTCGCCCTTTGCAGAACACCTGAGAGAGACCAGGCATTATACACAAACTTGTTCACACTGTCTCACTGAATTCTACATTTACTCTTAGAGATAGATGCTATTACTCCATTTTGCAGATGCAGAAACAATCTCAGATTAGCCAACAAATGGCAAATTCAAATCCATAACTCTATCTTGCTAGTTCCATAAAATCTTTTTTTTTTTTTTAAACTAATACCTCCTTATGAAAAGCTTCATTTTCTGTTGGTGAAGAAAGGTTTCCATCAATCCACCATGAGTCTGGAAATTCAACACTAGCCATGTGCACCTGTTATAGGCAGCTCCCTCCATTTCCCACTCTGGGCTCCACCAGGCCCCCTGGTGTAAACTGGAAGGTGTAGTAAACTGGTGTGGTACGGGTCCCAGACCTGGTGGCTTAAAAACTCATGCCAAGCATGTGTGCGTGCATACCCAAGATCCCGAGAGGAGAATGGAGGAGAAGGGATTGCAGTGTGGCCACCCCCCCTGAGGGGTGATTTCTCGCTTTCTCTCTATAGTAAAAACCTCTCCAAAAAAAAAAAAAAAAAGATTAAAAAAAAAAAAAGTTCTACTTGCTAAAGGTCTTCCTTCAACTGTCCAGCTCTTGTAGGCCAAAAATGTTGCCTTAAGTTTGATGTAAAATGTTTTTGCCATAACTTAAGTCTATTACCCTTCCTTTACTATCAACAACACATTCACATCATGTCGGGGGTGCAGTGCCAGGTGCCAAGGTTCTGCAGGGGTCTAAAAAGTAGTCTGTGCTCTCCAGGTCTCACCTGGTTGGTAAGACCAGATGTCTAAGAATGTAAATCACACCACTGGAGGCTGAACAGTGACATAGTGGTGACAGGTGACACTGCAAGGCTGACCCCACATGGAAAGGTTCTGGATTCATGTTTGGAGACCTTCCTGAGTTCACTGGGCATGTTTATGTCTGTAATCAGGGACTGGCTAAGGCTAGGAGAGGATTATGACACTGAGATCTTATTAGAGGTGTTGTCTCTTTATCTGTGTCTCGCTCAGGGAAGACATCAACACAAATTGAAAAGAAAAAGAGATGCTCTCTTTAAATCAAAAACACAACACAACACAACACAACACAACACAAAAATCCTACAAGACTGGGGAGTATGCATTTACTCACAAGTGATTATCATCACTACCTATGTGTTTATCAGGGTTGCAAGTGCTGAGAATAGAGCACTGACCAATGTAGTAGTCCCCCACTTATCTATCACAAGGGCTATGTGCCAGGACCTGCCTTGGATGCGTAAAACCACAGGTAACAAACCCTATGTCCAGTCAGAACTCTATATCCTCAAATTTGGCACCCATGGATTCAACCAACTGTGGATTGAAAATATCTGAGGAAAAAAACAATAAAAAATAATAATAATTTTTTTCTTTAGATCTATTCATTTATTTCCCAATTTCTTTACTCATCACTCTTCCCAGCTATATCATATCTACCTTCTGAGATTACTTCTCTTCTTCCTTTCTAAATTTTATTTCAATTTATTTATTTGCATTCATTCACTGTACATCATTACAGCATACAAAATGAGATTTTCCATCCAGAGTACACTGTATATTGTCTCAATCAAGCACATCAACAAACATGTTATTGCCAGCAAATAATCTTCCATTTCTTGTTTTCTGTATGGTTTGCTTTTTTCCCCCCCATCCTTGATTCCCTATCTCTTACCCTCTGCCATCTCTCACTCTCCTCCCACACTGTCTCTGGTATCTATGTTTGCTTTCTATACTGTTTCCCCCCCACACATTTTATTGAATTACTAAAGACCTTAATTAATCTAAATATTTTCATAGCAAACACAGGTGATATATACATTTCCATGAACACAAGTCTAACTTTATGCATCCTATAAAGTTGCACCTAGCTGGGGCTATATATCTTACTGCAGTCATAGAATAGATATATATTTTTTTCCTGAAACTTTTTTTTTGTAACTTAATTTTACATTCCTTCCCTAAGCATCATCACAGCACACAA